ATGGATTGTGGTAAGAGTTGTCAGAGCCCCCAATAAAATTAAAATAATAAAAAAAGATTGACAGCCTCAGAAGCGCTAATATAGGGTTATTATCCGTCAGAATTGACTTGACACTAGTGTATTTGATTGCTATTTTTGGCTTTTTTCCTGTTCAATAAGTTGCGGTGGAATATTACTCAGGAGTAAAAGGGTCGAATCAGTGCAACATGAAGGAAGATCAAAAACATCACACAAGCATGCACACTCTATGATTCTACTTAGACCAGGCAGAAGCTAGAAAGTTCATGGAAAAATGGAACTGAAAGATGGCATGTTTTCCACAAACTTTTTGAAGCCCCTCGTCAAAACTAACCTCTGGTGATAAAAATCAAGAGTGGTTGCTTTCAAAAAGAGGAACTGATACAAGGGCTCAATAGAAAGTAAATGTCTAGAAAAGAATGCTGGAAATATATGTACAAATATGCCTGATACGATTGATGTATGGATTGTAGTAAGAGTGGTAAGAGCCCCCAATAAGATGGATCTTTTAATAAAAATAAATAAAAGGGGGGGGGTGGCTCCTTTGAGGAGAGTGAGGGGATCAACTGGACATTCTCCTGAGAGGAGAGAAATGTTTTGGTTTGTTTTATCTTGGTAGGGGTGTGGGCTACTTGGATGATTCTCTGTATTTATCAAAACAGCTGAAATGTACACTTAAACCTGCAATTCACTTATGCAATTACATCCCAATTTTTCAAAAGTAAAGAAAGAAAAATAAGTGGTTACAGCACTGTTTAAATACTGTGCTTGGGGAGCATTAAGAAGTCCAGTTTTGCCTTGTATCTATGCATACCCACAATCCACCAAAAAGTTTTTAAGTACCCCAGACCAAACCAGGCCCTTGTCCACTCTGGGCTGGTCCTGAGTCTCCACCTTGGTGCCCACTAGACTCACAAGCTGCCTTCTCACGGTGCCATCAAGTCAATGATGACTGGTAACGACCCCTTGTGAGTTTCCAAGACAGTAACTGTTTATGAGAGTAGAAAGCCCATTTTTCCACACTTGGGGCTGCTGGTGGTTTCAAACTGCTGACCATGTGGATCGCAGCCCAATCTGTAACCTCTATACTACTACCAGGGCTCCACAGCAAGATGGCGGTGCTATGGAAAGCTGAAACACCATGCAATGCCAGATGAGTTAAAAGTCTACCCTGCAAATAAAGACTTCCTTGCCCCTTTCTACGATTCTCCAAGGTCATACCCGCAAACTCCTATGGGTGACTTGGAAATCAGCTGACAATTGTGGCCTTTCCAAGTACTGTTTGACTTCCTAAGCGCATTTCTTACCGATGCACTGCTATTCTAAAAACCTCAAGCCTATCTCAAAAACACCTGGCCTTAAAGCCTATTCACTTAGAGAACAATGAGCCAACTGCTACAGCTTTAAATTACCACCACCAGAATGAGAAGAACGATCCATGGAAAAAGAAAACAAACAAACTGCGTTCAGATACCCGTCTAGGGAACCTGTGAACTGGCAGAACCCTTGGTGCAAGACATTTCCAAGACATGGTATAAACTTGCTTTCCAGCCAGCTCATGCCTCCACACAGGGGACTTCACAAGCACCCACCACGATGGCCTCCCAAGGATGGTTCCTGCCAGGGACTCACCTTCACCCTCAGGATGGGGAATAGGAGCGGGGTGAGATGCCCCGAGGTAACCAAAGTCTGGGAGGAGCAGACCAACCCCAGGTACCAATTTGTCAGAATTGGCAAAGTGGTGCCAAGAGCCAGTCAAGCAGACCTTCACTCTGGTCTTCCTCCATATGCCAGGAAGCCAGCAAAAGACACCCCGCTTGCTTACCTCTCGTTGGACCGTATCATGTAGTCAGTAAATTCCTGGTCTCCCTTGATCACCTCCATAGGGACCACTAGGCTGACGTCAGAATCTGTTTTTTGCAGTTGGTTGAGTTTAATATTCACCGCAAAGAGGTAATCCCGCACATCATCTATGCCCACTTTCAGGCCTTTGCACACCACATACCTGCCAAGAGAAACTCGTCAGTGCACTGTGCAAGAACTTCCTCTACACACATTAACATCTCCATCAACCCCTGGCCAAGTCACGAGGCTAAAAGGACTCCCTGTTCAGCCTTACATTTATACACAGACTTTATGTGCCTCTAACCCTTCCCTTTATCATCAAACGTCTCTTTCTCTAGGGGCCTTGGTAGCCTAGTGGATTACAAAATGTGTTGCTAACCTCAAGGTCAGCAGTGTAAATCCACCAATAATTCTGAGAGAGAGAGGGGAGGGGGACTTTCTTCTCCCATAAAGAGCCACAGATTTGGAAACCCACAGGACAGGTCCGGTTGCTATGATTTGGAATCGCTTTGATGGCACTGGGTGTAGTATTCCTCTCGATAGCGGTGGGTCTCCGCTGCCTTGGGCAGGCTGACTACATCTCTATCACTCGGGGAGCCTAGTGAATCGGACCTCCCAGGGATGGCCACAGAAACCTGTTTTTAACTAGCCCCTGGGACTCTCCTGATTGGCTGCACTCTTGGCCACCTCTCCACCCAGGGCCAAGTGGAGGATCCCCAGACATGTGTGTGGGCATTCCCACACAGAGAGGGAGACACAGGTGGAACTGGTACCTCATGAGACCTATCAGATTCCAAAATTTCGGCTCCCAGAACCTCTAATAACTTCTGTGATGTCAAGGTTCTTAATGTGGTTTGAGAGATCATGCCAGGGAGACACCCAGGATTCACTGTTCTGAAGTTTAGCCAACTTGGCGAAAGAGAAGGCAGCCTCACCTCTCCGAGTTGGCTGGACGGCTGGTAACTGGCTTAAAGAGACACACTCGTTCAAAGCAGCAGTACAGCAGGTAAATGAGCCCCACGCTGAATGGTGTGAACAGGTCAAAGGTTTTACAAATAAAGTGGCCTCCTGGATTAGAGAGGAGAAGAGGGACAAGTCAGTTCGATTCCAGGAGTTAAGTTGTTCTCAGGGTATACATGTGACCAAGTCAGGGCACCAGGGCCCATTCAAAGTCAGTGGCAATTCAAGAGGTCAGAAGACTGGTTACCACATGGTCAGCAGCTGGAGCCCACCAATCACTCCACTGGACAAGACGAAGCTTTCTGCTCCCATAACGATTTACAGCCTTAGAAGCCCAAAGGTTTCCTACTAGGTTGCTATGAATCGGAAGCAAGTCGAAAGCAGTGGGTTTGGTTTCTGGTATATATGGAGCCCTGGAGGAGCCATCCGTCCGCTAAGTGTTGAACTACTAACCACAAGGCTGACGGTTCAAAATCCTCAGTTGCTCCTTGGGAGACGGATGAGACTATCTGTTCCTGTGAAGATGGATAGCTTTCGAAACCCTATATAGGGTGACTATGAAGTGGAATCAACTAAATGGAAATGCGCTGATTGGTAGGTTGGTTTGGGGACTTTTCCCTACATTTTTCACTAGGCCACCTGAGAGAAAAAGACTTAATTTCCTAACCCAACCCACACATATGTATTGGCCCCTCGCGAGTCCTAGAGCGAGGAGAGGCTACAGAAGCATCACCTGTGCGGACAATGGACAGCGCCATGAGGAACTGGCACAGCAGCAGCTGCTTGCTGAGGACCTCCTGCAGATTCTCCTGCCCTTCCACCGAGAAACCCTGAAGGGAGAGAACAAGGACAGGGGCACAGAAGAGAAAGGATGAGGGACGAAAACACGTTCCAGCCTCGTCTTCCTCCAGATGCTGTTTAAGTGTGTTCACTGCCCACACCCCTGACTGATCAGACACAACATTATAGCTGGAGCCAGCACGAGCACTCAGGCCCGCAGACTGGCTCTGTGGGCCTCTCCAGCTCTTCACTCCCAGGGGATGAGTGTCCCAGGAGATGGTCAGAAAAAGTTTAAACTCCTGTAGGAATCCAAAGGGAGAGAAAGGGAAAACAAAAGCAAAACACTGGCTTAGTGAGAGCCAACTAAAAGACACGGAACACAGTGCTCGGTGAGTCCCTGCAAGACCCAGAGAGTAAGGGTGGTGTGAGACTCACTCCCTGTGCTGCCCGCTGAACAGGAGCGCGGTGAGCACCGCCCTGACACCAGCAGGAATCTCTTAGCTGACCACAGGCTTCTCCTACACCCGCTTGACGGTCTATGCCAAGCCTATGGCATTCCTCCTCCAGCTGGCAAGGTCTGAGCACAGTGCTTGCTCAGTGAAAGTGTGCTGCTATTCCTGGGGGAGCCTCCCTCCTGAGAGATTCAGAAGAAACCAGAGGTTCTTCTTATATAAGAGGAAATGTTACCAAACTCATCATTCTATGAAGTCGGCATCACGTTGATGCCAAAACTGGTAAAGGCATCGCAAACAAAGGCAATTACAGACCCATCTCCCTCGTGACTAAAGATGCAACATTCTCAACAATGCAGCAAGAGGAGACCCAGTTATGGAGACTTCCAAATACTATGTGGGGTTGATTTCTTGCGTTAAAATGCTTAAGGCCATAAACCTTGTCAAGTTTACATTCTATACCCTCGTTCAGGGGTAGCAGCTGGGACCGTAGAAGCTTGCAAGTGGTCCTCTAAGATACACCTATTAGTTTCTACTAAACTGGAACAACAGAGAACAAAGGGAAGCGAAGATTCACTGAAAAAACTACTCCACAGAACTAAGAGCCCACCGGCACCATGGCCTCATCGGATCTGAGATGAGGAGAACTTGACGGCACCTGGCTGTCACTACCAATCGTTGAGGATACCATGAAAAGCCCTGGACAGAAGGGGAGAAAAACTAGAACCAAACTCAAATTCCTGAAAAGGTCAGATGTACTAGACCAATAAAATAGAGGGAACACCAAGGGAATCATCCTAGAATTCCCCATAAGCCTGGATTCCCTATAAGCCACTCTTAGAAGTCACCCTTCATCCATATACTAGATTTATAAAATGCCGTATATACTCGAATACAAGCCGAGGCACCTAATTTTACCACAAAAACAGCATAACAAATGTGCTGAAGATGGACATTGGGCCTCTACTCAAGTACTCCCTCAATGCAAGAATACTCTGTTCTTTTAAACTGACATTCCATGATGCTTACCTTCCCAACACAACCGCTGAAGACAAAAAGGGTGCATAAGCATATGTGGTGAAGAAAGCTGATGGTGCCCGGCTATCAAAAGATACAGCATCTGGGGTCTTAAAGGCTTGAAGGTAAACAAGCAGCCATCTAGCTCAGAAGCAATAAAACCCACATGGAAGAAGCACACCAGCCTATGCGATCACGAGGTGTCAAAGGGATCAGGTATCAGGCATCATCAGAACAAAAAAATCATATCATTGTGAATGAGAGGGAGTGCGGAGTGGGGACCCAAAGCCCATCTGTAGGCAACTAGATATCCCTTTACAGAAGGGTCGTGGGGAGGAGACGAGTCAGTCAGGGTGCAGTGTAGCACCGATGAAAAATACAACTTTCCTCTAGTTCTTTAATGTTTCCTCCCCCCACTATCATGATCCAAATTCTACCATACAAATCTGGGTAGACCAGAGGATGTACACTGGTACAGACAGGAACTGGAAACACAGGGAATCCAGGGCAAATGAACTCTTCAGGACCAGTGGTGAGAGTAGCAATACCAGGAGGGTGGAGGGAAGATGAGAGCGAAAGGGGGAACTGATCACAAGGATCTACATATAACCCCCTCCCTGGGGGACGGACAACAGAAGAGTGGGTGAAGGGAGACATCGGACATGTAAAATATGACAAAATAATAATAATTTATAAATTATCAAGGGTTCATGAGGGAGGGGGGAGCGTGGAGGGAGGGGAAAAATGAGGAGCTGATACCAAGGGCTCAAGTAGAAAGCAAATGTTTTGAGAATGATGATGGAAACAAATGTACAAATGTGCTTGACACAATGGATATATGTATGCGGCGTCATTAAGAGCTGTAAGAGCCCCCAATAAAATATTTTTTAAAAGATAATAAAGATATTAAAATTAAAAATAAAAACGTGCTGAAAAACCTGGCTTATATACGAGTATATACGGTAAACAACATCACCTGTGAGTGCTGTGCTCCCTTGAATACTCAACTATAAATAAAATGTTATTACTACCGACTAAAAGAGACCTGTATAAAAGGAAAACATTTTGTGCTCATGGACTGGTAGGCTTAATATTGTGAAAATGCCAATACTACCCAAAATGATCTATAAGTACAAGGTAATCCCAATCCAAATTCTTACAACATTCTTTTCTGTACTGAAACCTCATAACTAATCATTAACTTTATACAGAAAGGAAAGAGGCCCTGAATAGCCAAAGCAATTTTGAAAAATAACAGAGGCCTTATACTCCCTGACTTCCAATTACACCATACAGTCATGGTAATCAAAATGGCCTGGCACAGGCACACAGAGGAGTGGAACAGAACTGAACTCAGAAATTAATCCATTCATCTACGGACAAGCGATTTTTGACAAGGGACCATTCCATGGGAAGGAAAAGTCTCTTTCACAAATGGTATTGGGAAAACTGGATACACATTTAGCAGAAATATGAAACAATCCATGCCTCCACCCATACACAAAAAATGACTCAGAATGCATTACAGATCTAAATAGTCAAGCTAAGACTATAAAATTCCTGAAGACAATATAGACAATTCTCGTGGGAGCTAATGGTTTTCAAAGGGAGACTGTCAAATACAACTACAAAAGCACAAATAGCAGAAGACAAATCTGATTACTAGGATCACATAAAAATTACATATTTCTGTTTTAAATCTTACTAAACAAGTAAAAAGAGAGCCTATATAGTGGGGGTGTGAGGGGGGATCTTCAAGAACCAAAAATCCAGTAAGGGCTACACCCCAAAATAGACAGAAAACTTCAGAAATTCAACAACAAAAAGACTAACAAGCTAATTAAAATATGGGCAAAGTATGTGAACACACACTTCACCAAAGAGGTCTTAAGTGACCGAAAACATGCGCTCCTGAGTATTAACCATAAAGGTACAAATTAATGCCATCATCCCAAACCTATTAACAGCATTGATAAGTTAAAAACAAAACACAAAAAAACAAGTGCTTGCAAGGATATAGGGAGATTACAACCCTTATCCACTGCTGATGGGACTATAAAATGATACAACCATTATGGAAAACAGTATGGCATGCCCTCAAAACATTGGGAAGAGAAAAACACTTACGGTCCAGCAATCCCACTCCCAGGTGGATCTCTTAGAAAGGCAATGGCACAAATACGTACATGCACACCTGTGTGACAACCCAAGTATCCAGCAATGGATGAATGGGCACACACAGAATACTAGGGAGTCACAAAGAGTACTGATGAGTTCTCAAAACATTAGCGCGTGGATCACATTATGCTACATGAAATATGTCAATCACCAAAAGGCAAGTATTGTGTGATCACACTTTTAGCAGAAAACAATAGCTATATACCAGGGGGCTTCAAAAAGTTCATGGGACAAACCATCATTTTTTAACTCTTGTTCCATGCATTTTTTTTGACACTGTATTGAGGGCTCTTACAGCTCCTGTAACAATCCCAACATCAATTGTATCAAGCACATTTGTACACATATTGCCATCATTATTTTCTAGACACTTATTTTCTATTGCACCCTTGGTGACAGCTCCTCTTCCCCTCCACACACACACCCAGCCCTCGTGGCCCCTTGATAAACTATAAATTATTATTATTTTCATATCTTACACCGACCGCTGTCTCCCTTCCCCGACAGTTTCTGTTGTTCATCCCCCTGGGTGGGGTGGGGGGGCGGTTATGTGTTATATGTCGATCATTGTGATTGGTTCCCCCTTCCTCCCCTCCACTCCCAACCTTCCCCCTCCTGTTATCACTACTCCCATTCCTGTTCCTGGATTCCGTGTGTCGTTAGCTCTTATATCTTATCTGTACCCGTGCACATACTCCAGTCAAGCACGCAGTGAAAGGCAGGGCTAGGGTCATGATAGTGGGGGGTAAGGTGCCTCAAGGAACCAGAGGAAGAGTATTGTGTGTTTTTCATCAGTGCTTTATTGCACCCTGATTGACTCATCCCTTCCCTGTGATCCCATTGTGAGGGGATCCCATTGTCTACAGATGGGCTTTAGGTCTCTGCTCCGACACCCCTCGCTCTCAACAATAGGGTTTGTTTGGGGTCTTCTTATGCATGTTACCCCGTCCTGGTGACACCTCATCACACAGGCTGATGTGCCTCTTCCATGTGGGCTTGTTGCTTCTCTGCTAGATGGCCTCTTGTTTAACTTCAAGCCCCTAAGACCCCAGATGTTATATCTTTTTTTTTTTTTTGACGCTATATCTTTTGATAGCCGGCACCATCTGCTTTCTTCACCACATGTGCTTATGCACTCATTTTGTCTCCAGCAATGGAGTCAGGAGAGTGAGCATCACAGAATGCCAAGTTGTTAGAACAAAGTGTTCTTGCACTGAGGGAGGGCATGAGCAGAGGCCCAAAATCAATCCATAACCTCACCGTATTGCCATATAAATATATGTACATGGGCCAATACCCGTTTTTATGAACTAATGTATTAACATGTGTACACACCTATGCTTATACCTCTCTCCATAGCTTTGCTTCCTAGATCATTCCTCTGTTTCCTTTTACCGTCCTCTTGCCCCATCACACTCACCCTACTTCCACCTCTTAGTAATTCCCCTCAGCTAGATTGCTGTTGCTTCAACACCCTCAGGATCTCTAGGTCCTCCTCGTTGTTGATTTTAATTCCCTAGTTGTTTCCTGTCTAAGCCATTGTTTGCCCACCACTCCCTTCGCCAACCTCCTTCTCCCCACAGTCCCTCCGGACCGTTAGTCCCATGCTTTCTCCCCAGCTTACTTCCCATCCCTATCTCACATACGCAGGCAACCCAACAATAACAGAGAACAAACAAAAAGAAAAAAGATTGAAAAAAACCAAAACACAATTCTACGTCTGCTCGCTGACCTGTATGACTCCTCTCCTCACTGGTCCTGGGGAAATTCCAGGAGCTGCCCTCCTAGCTGGAAGTCTGTTTGGGGGGCTCTTCAGGGGCTTTGTGTCTTTGCTTTCCTCTTGTTGCTGTTATGTTAGGGTTCCTTCTTGGTTCGGCCCGCTGCGGGGGTGGGAGGTGTGGGGGGGAGGGGAGGTTCAGCCTGGACTAACTCCTTGCCATGTGTCCCAGTATTGTCCTCGGTGACAGTATGCTCCAGTGAGGGGACAACATGTCTTGAGCTGTTGCTGGCTCTAATCATGCATTTTTTAAAGCCTTTTCTAAGTACGCAGCTCTTTCTCAGTACTCACTGCATGGGTTACCCAGTATGGGTGGTGGGAGAGGGGGACTCACTCTCTAGACCAGGGGCCCTCAAACTTTTTAAACAAGGGGTCAGTTCACTGTCCCTCAGACCGTTGGAGGGCTGGACTACAGTTTCAAAAAACACTATGAGCAACTTCCTATGTACACTGGATGGGTCGGCTGCTAAGCAGGGCAGGCAGCGGTGGCAAAAACACCCGGCAGGCCGTAGTGTGAGGACCCCTGCTCTAGATAATAGACATGTATTACTTTTGGTAATGGGAAAGGCAGTACCGAATGCTGGTGATGTACGTACAGCTTGACCAAGGTAAGTGATCAAATTAAGAAATATACGAAACAAAGGGACAGGTTTGGTAAAGGATACGATATATGAGGGTAAATAAAGCACTGACACTAGGGTTTCAGTTCGTACGTGCACAGGCTCATTCCAGACGGTGCCTCCATATGTCTGAGATCGATCGTAAATAGCTACAGACAAGTTCTCTCTCTAACACACTGGTCTTAGTTTCTGCAGGGTCTCTCCCAAAAGAGGTCCACTCAAAACGGGCTTCCAAGGGGTTTTGCAGCGCTCGTACAATTCAAGGCAACAAGGTCAGCTCAGAAGGTGATGGCCACTGTGTTTGGAGGTTCCCTAGAGGGAATCTTGATAGATGATCTCAATGGACACTGGACGATCCTGAGAGCTTCTTAGGAAGAAGTTTCAAGAAAGATAAAAAACTGCACTGGTGAGGAAAGGGTCACAAAAGTTGCGCTGAGGAATTTGTTCCCATCACAATTATGCACCGGCTGATTCTTCGACAGCAGGTAATAGGAGCCGTCCTACAAAAATTTCATCAGGAAACTTCACTTGATGTGCCCTACAGCCCCAACCTTGCCCCTGTCGAACTCCTTCTTGTTCCCCAAACTCAGAACACTTCAGTGGAACAAGATGTGAGCCCCTGGAGGCCACATGTGCCAGCTGGACGGACATGGGCGGGTCAGAGCGCAGGCTTCGTGGGGAAGGAGGCTGAGAAGGGTAAGAACCCCTCCTTCGGCGCTCCACAGACCTAGACGGAGGATGTGCTAAGAAAGATTGGTTGTATAGTTCGACGTTTGTGTTTAATAATGGCTTCTATGCTTTTGTAGCAATATTTTTGGACTTATCTTCATATATAATTTTACAACACCAACAAAAAAAGGTTCTATACACATGTATATATGCATGTACACATAGCTACATCTATATTACATACAGATATGTGTGTATGCACATATAGTCATACATATATAATAAACCTGCTGAAGCCGTTATGGATACTGCGTACATACTACCAGGCACATCTCATTTTC